ATTCTTAGGAATGTCTAAATTCAGTTAAACTAGCAATTCCATATTATATTTATAAATCTTTATAACATTATACAAAAATTAGATTTTTCTTAAAAATTGAAATTTTGCCGGGAATGGGGCTTTAAATGATTTAGGTATTGACAATATTTTATGTTTATTTCCAGATTTTTTGTGCTAGATGCTCAGCCAACTCGGTGCCACTACCACGCTACGGTCAAAGAAAAGCGGTGCGTGTGTGCAACCGTTGTTACATGTTCCATGTTACGCCATTCCAGCAATAAAGAGATTGCCTGGCTTGAGAGCAGTGGTATTGTTCAGTCGGAAACACGGTCACAAAAAACCTGTAATATAGTTCTAAAGTATTTATTTATATAATGCCTTATTGCTTTTATAAACCTGTCTTAACGTTGCTGTACAATATAATTGCATGAGCACATGGAATGGTATGGTTACTAAAGAATTATTTATTATATAAAAAAAAATATCACAGGAGTATTTATTATGCACATACAAAAGTACATTATGCGATATATATCGAGGAGGTACCGTATATACTCACGTATAAGACGAGGCCTAAAATAGCAAATTACGATAAAAAACAGCGGTTGTCTTATACGCACAACATACAAATTTTAGATTTATTAAATCACATGAATTAGCTACTGCAATGAAGCTACTAAATGTTAGTATGAATGAACGCAATTTTAAATACGGGGAAATAAGGTTTTTGATGAACATTTAAAAACTCATAAATTTTTGAAGATCAGCCTTGCATTTGGCTCTGTTTTTAGCCAGCTAGATGCAATACCAAGACCATAAACAGCAGAAAAAAGTGGGAATTCCTACGATGAAACAGGGCGATTTCTTATAAGCCAGACATACAAAAATCGTCCAAAAATCTTATATGAGTATATACGGTATATTATCAGTGTTTGTATTTGTCCATTTTTTGTCTGTTCCAAAGTATGCAAGTGGCAATTAATGGCATATATTAATTAATATTAATTGTTGTGATATTTTAAATTATTATTGTTTTATTTATGATTACCTTATATTCAGATCATTGTTTTATACCAAATATATTATAATGATATCCACAATATTAAAAAAAAAAAAAAAGTGGCAAAATTTTAAGTTTAATTTCATATTTATTAATTAAGTATGGAGTCAATTTATTTTATTAATATTTTATTTTATTTTTTCCACAATCTTATTAGCAATCATATTTATTAAATAAGTATGGAGTCAATTTATTTTATTATTATTTTATTTTTTATTTTTTCTACAATCTTATTAACAATCATTATTATAAATGATGTTTTTAATTAAGGCAATATCTTTTCTTCATAAAAACAAATATAAGTTAATCATATTTATGATATAATATATTAAAAATCAGCTTTCTGAATTGTAGATTAATATAAATAATGTAGTAGTGTAGTATGCCAAATACAACATTGAGATATTACTTGTGTAATATGTACATACTGTAGTAACTATTTATTTCTTGCATATTTGTATTTTACATCTCTAACAGTGAGAATTCAGTTCAGAAGTGTCTGCCTGCATGCCTTAAATTTGAATAATTATCAGATAAATTTGTTAGATAGATTTATCAGATCAAACTTTGTGTACACTGGCATGGCTTACAGATGTACAGTATTATCACCTGAAAATGACAAAAAATCATGAAAAATAATTCTGAAATTAACTTGCTCATTTTGCAGTTACATACCAATTATTAACTGAAGCATAGAAATGACTGAATTTTAAATATGTGTACCCTGATTCTTATACTGGATAGTAATAATAAAACACATTCAGTGACTGGAAGTGTTTCTATCATTTTTTGCTGTAAAATTGTCGGTAAACATTTTTTAAGTATGCTAATTTCTATGTAATTTTATGTTAGGCATACATCAAAATGTGCATGTTAATTTCAAAAATGGTTTTACGTTTTTTTTGGTATTTTGCATGGGGACAATACATCTTTAAGATATGGTTTGGCTGTTGGGTTGCCAAAAAGAAAGGCTTTGGATGAGAAAAAGTTGATCAACATCAAATTATTTCCAAATTTAAGTATATATTGGCTTTGGTGTTGCCATAGTACTGTTGTAAATTTCTACACCATATTTGATGCAATACGATTTATTTATTGATAAAATATAATACTGATGATAATAATATTAATAGAATAGTTATGGTGTATGCGATTATGTGAGCCTTTGTACTTAAACATGACCCAGAAAAGATATGTCCCAGTTTTATTCTATAAATATTTGGAGTATTTTTATAGATTATTTAAGTATGTTTAATGGTAAGATGTCATCTCCTTTAAAAAAGGATATAAATAGACAAAGTGAGCCCAAGAGCTTTCCTGGAGGGGGTATGTGTGTGGTACGATTCAGAATTAAACATGTAATATGAGTACGTAGACAGTGAAGGTTTAGATATGAGTAAACATACCAGTATACTGTATATAATTTAGATATATAATATATGTAACTGTTGGTTTGGCATACTTGTATGTAACTATACAGTAATGTATTCCACTGAGATTCAGCCATTGTTACACACATCATTAATATAATACTTATTGTCAACTCGCCATCCAAACCTTCATATATATATATATTATTCTTTGCATAGACCCTTAAATTGGCTGATTGATTTTTATAGGCGTCTGTGAATCAAAAACTGGTTTGATTTGATCTGTGTCTCGTTTGTGGTTTGATAACTTAATTTATCATTAAAATGAAATATTCAAAGTTTTAATGAATGTCTAAGGGGTTTTTCCCAGATAGTAAACCTTATGTATAGTTACATTCTAATCGTTACTGAGCACAAATTAGTGAAATCTAGGAAAAACTCCTTAACAATTCAATTGAAGAAATGAATTAAACATTCAAAATGATCAAAATCTGTTATAAACGTGCAAAAAGAATAATAAGGAATAGTAAAATAACAGGTGATGGATTATGACTATAACCTGACTTTTATTATAATATTTATAATTGGGCTCAAATGTGGGTTGCCATATAATCCAAATAGATCATTCTCTTTTATGTGCAAACCACGATCTCTTTCACTAGAGCATGTTTCAGCACAAACCTGCATAGCAAAGACAGGAAGTAGTTTGGGTATTACACTAGTGGGAAATCCCCTTTTCTTTTTCTTTTTTTTTATGCTCAGAGTGATTATGTACTTTTAACCACTCTGGCTTTAGTTTTCATCCAAAGGAAACAAGCAAAAATTACAATTGGATTTGTTAAATTTGTTGATTTCCATATTTTGGCAGAAAAAAAAAAGTCAATTTATTACTTGAAAATGTATAGTGTATACAAATCTTCTTCATGTAATACCAATAAAAATTACTTTCCCCCCCCCCCCCCCAAAAAAAAACCGTCATGTAGTTAAAAATTACCTTATTTTGCAAATTAGTGACCATCAACTGACTTCGCTGATCCCATCAGCACCCCTATTTGAATCTTGTATGTAGGGTCATAATAAAGGACATTGACAGATTTTAGTGTTTATGATAGAGATTCCATTAACAGTTCATAGGGTCATGAAAAGGAAAACAATTGGCAGGTCATAGACCAAGGGTCATGATAGCAGAAAGCTTTGGTTGGTTGTCGTGGATGACAGGGTCATGATAGAAACATGTACGCCAAAGACAAGCACTTTAAATGTCATTTCCCAGAATTCCAGGTTACAAAACCTTGAGTGCAGTAGTGCACTTTAAATATACATTTCTTTGTTTTTAAGGTAATTGTTATTGTTTGTAAAGTAGCCAATGTAGTTTGATGCAAACTTTAAAGAAAAGGAAATTATATATTATAATACTATGGTTTTTGTATATATTGTTTGTGTGATTATTTTATGGTATATAATATAGGCCTTATCTATAGCCATCTGACAATGTGTGGAACTTAGGGGTATGGTAATATTCCATTCTCAAACGACTTTATATTACCATTTAATGTGAGCAAAGTTCTTTAAATCTGACATTTCAGCTTATTCAGAGCAAATTGGTTACAAAGGGAATTTGTCAGCTGTTGTAGAGCTAGGTACACGTTGCACCTGTCAGTCATCATCCGACGCACAATTCCTACAGGAAATGCACATGCGAAGAAGGTGCATGCAACATCTAGTTTTTAAGAGGCATTCCGCTCATGTCTGCCATCAATAATCATCAGATGGTGTTGCGTTGTCAGACGTTCATAGAGAGCGGAGTTGGGTTTGTTGGCCGACAGTCGTATGAGGCATCATACAGCGCGATGTGTGCCCGGCTTATATAAACTTAACCTGCTTACACTACTCTGGTTTTCTTTTGACATTTCTATTATTTTCATGTATTTGCATCCCGCACGTTTCTCTAAACCACATACTGCGGCATAATAAAACAGGCTTTCTTTAGGGAATTCAAAGCTATTCTCAGGCACTTTGTGCTTTCGACATCTGCTAAATACAGTCTTCTTTTATGTTCCTTGCAGTAAAATATGTACCAATAAAAATGATGAACTTTGACACATTTTCTGTTTAAAACAATTAACATTTTTCCAGTAACATGTACTTGATTCCTTGTGCTTCCCTTGGGCTAATAAGTGGTAATACTATCTCAATGTACCAGCAAATACTTAAATGTAAGTATGTACAATAATGTATATAATGTATAATAATGTTTGGTTATCCTTTGTAATTGATGTTGCATAGTGTATTATGTACCATGATATTATATGGTCTTGTATAAGTTTGAGTACAATTTCGCATGATATACTGTATTGGTTGTTAATGTCAAAATATGCGGATAACATTGTACCTACCAATGGTATTTCTTTGACAGCTACAGTAAATGTGTAACAATATGGTATAAAAAAAATACCCCTCATTATAACACACTGTCTTTACCAGGTTAACCACTATGGTAAAAATAACCATGTTAACACAGTGTCTTCACCATATGAATTGTTATTATAAAGCATAAAGACACCTTGGTGGTATATAAAGACTTACCATGGTTACACGGTGTCTACCATGTTCAGATTTATGCTACATATGTAAGTTATACCAACATAGTCAAATGGTATGGCTGTACCAGAACCCATTTATAATTAGTGCCCTATAAAAACATTATTACTCCTTGCAACATGGTATAGTACAATAAGATCTACCAACAATGCCGTAGTCAGGATTTTCAAACAGTGCGGGACAATATCAGTGTGGACCCACTTTACGTGTAAATTCAAACAATGTGGGCCGATTTTACGCAAAAATATGAAAAATCTGGACCCATTTTCTTAAATGTTGCCCATTTTAAGCTAAATATGAGAAATCTGGACCCATTCTTCGTGGACCCATTAGAAAACTTTTGGGACTGTCCCAATAGCTGGCTACGGCATTGTCTACCGAACTGTACCATGGTGCCAGGGGTTACCAACATTCCACCCATACGATGTGCCGAATAATATTGTTGAGTTTGTTTAAATTATTTATCTGTTTAACCAAAAGCATGTAAATACAAGAGTGACCGAGTAGGCTAAATTTCTCCTGGCTGCAACACCTCTCAAAACTTGTGATTTAAGGGATACCAGCTGCCATTGATTATATGGTTTATCCAATGGAGAGATTCGAACCTGCATATTCTGTGGCCTCCAAATGGTTATGTTTTAGATCCTTATTATTTCAGTAACCATAGTAATTTGATATGATGTTAGCTATACTTAACTCATTCTGAAATGTACTGATGTTTTTGCCTCATGGGGATGACAGTGGCGGATCCAGGAATTCGAGATAGAGGGGGCCCAGGAAGGGATTTCCACAGACGGAGGGTCTAGACAACCTTAGCCCCACCATGGTTGGAGCTGAGGCAAGAAAATATATTTTGGCACCTTGAAAGGCTAGAAATTGCACTCTCAGACCTAAATTAAATTACAATTTTCATTTTTTTTTTTAATCCACCACTGAATGAGGATGATGATGATAACGATAGTAATGTAAATTATGGAACATTTATTTAAAATCTGATCGAATTTAATATTATTCACTAAATAGACTGGTTAGTAAGCATTATGTATTTTAAGTACTGTAGG